AACACAGGATCCTGGGTTATGACCTGGCAGTGTGGACTCATACAATCCAGTCCAAAGCAGATAATTATCTGGGATCAGATCCTGGGGTATAGGTCCAGTGTAGACCGCGCCTCAGTTAAGAGGGGCCCATTTGGGAAGAGTTGGGGTCAGAGGACAGGCTCCTCGGGTCCTTCCTCCAATCTTTGCTCCGGTCCCAAGTTCTTCCAGAAGGCGGCAGGGAACGTGCGGGAGAACACGGGAGAAGACCTGGACACGGAGCAGCTCATCCACGAGACGTGCCGGAACTGCCTGGAGCAGGTATGTGCTGCCGAGAAGGGATCTTGCGCTGGGATTGTGGCGCAGCTGGGGGAGTGTCAGCTGCATTAGGACCACTCTGACCAGAAGGTCATGAGTTCGAAGCCAGCCTGGGTCGGAGTGAGCTTCCGGCCAAATTTGTGTAGCTTGTTGTCGACCTTTGCAACCCGAAAGACAGTTGCATCTGTCAAGTAGGAAAACTAGGTACCACCTATGTGTGGAGAGGCTAATTTAACTAATTTACGAGGCCATAAAAAGACTCCAGCAAAAGCATGCGGGGAATGCGGAAGTGCTTCATCAGTGTTGCAGATGGACAATGAAAGCGACAGCTCCTCTGGCGGCCAGAAAAAGTTAAATAGCCTCTGTGTATGTCTATATACGTTGTATGTCTAATTGGCATGGAATGTTTGCCGTATATGTGTACATTGTAATCCGCCCTGAGTTCCCTGTGGGGTGAGGAGGAGAAGAGCGGAATATAATGCTGTAAATAAATAAATCCTGTCTCTAGGGCAGGCCTTTGGGACCCCCCCCCTCCCTTTGAGGCTGAGGCTGCCCTGGGAGGTGGTCTGGAGGGCTTTGATTGTGTCTTCCTGCCCGTCAGAATAAAAGGGGTTGGACTAGATGGCCCTGGAGCACCCCTTCCACCTCAAGGATCCTGTGATTGTGGAGCGAATCCTCCTCCTCCCTGCCTGATGGGCAGCATGTCCTGGGAGCCCTTCAAGGCATTTTGGTGCTCAGCGGAGGAGCTCTCCAAGAAGCCTTGAGCAGGACGGGCTCCCTAATGGTTCAGTTCTTGCTTCTGCCTTCGCCTCGTTCTGCAAAACGATCCAAAAAGCGAAGAGCCAGCCAGGAATGCGATCCCAGCGCTGACTCCAGGCCTTTTTCTTCCCCTTCAGGCTAAACTTCTCTTCTGCGACGGCAAGAAGTCTGTGGCGAGGTTGCCGCACGAGGTCCC